CAATATAAAAACAGACTGAACAAATCAGAAACAAATTCATTGAATTCTGTCATTCAGGATAGATTCAACAAATCACAGCCATTATCAACAAATGAGGAAATAAAGAGTAAAGAAAAGTAAGAACTGTGTGTAACCATTTTAGTAGTTGACTGCTCTCTTTGTTTTATCCTGTTAGTTTAAGAAGAGGCTAGAATGACATCTAAAGCATTCAAGACTGGATATTAAATTTGAAATAATTTTAAATGGTTTATAAGCTATTTTTAAGCCAAAAACTAAGGCTAAGCAAAATAAGTGCAAATACTTATCTTATGTTTCTCAAGAAACATGTTGACCAAGAAATTATTTAATTAGATCATTTCAAAAGAAGAACACAAAAATATATTGTGTGGCTTGCCATATGCTCTTGCTGCTATAGGATCGGGAAAACTAAACAATATTGACAGAACAACGTATTCTAACAGACAGACATTAGGGGGAGTGTCTGGCTGATTATTTTGTCCTCTTAAGCTTCAGCCCACTTAAAGTAATGCGTAGTAAAATGTGTAATTACTTACTTTTAGTAATGACAATCAATAGATAATATATAGCATGTCAAGCCACCTCTGAAGGACTTAGACAATATTTCGAGGTTTCGAAGTAGAAGTCAAAGTCCAGGCTTTTATCAAATAAAGAAATTATGGAAAGACCTTAAACAAGCCAGTCATTCCTGTTTAAAACTTCAATATGTGTTATTTTTATCTATTTTTGTCTTATAGCTTTCATTATCCGAATAATTTAAATCTGTAAGAGGACACGTTTTGGTTGCAATGTGCCGTAGAATTGAAGTGATTCATTGATTGATTGAATTTAACATCAAAATCTGTTTTTAGGTTTATGAAGGAGAAAGAGCCATGACCAAAGATAATAATATCTTAGGAAAATTTGAATTGACCGGCATTCCACCTGCCCCAAGAGGAGTTCCCCAGATCGAGGTGACCTTTGACATCGATGCTAATGGCATTCTTAATGTGTCTGCGGTCGACAAAAGCACTGGGAAGGAGAATAAAATCACCATCACCAATGACAAAGGTTGTATAACATTTTGCAAATAAAGAACTGTTCACAAGAGGATGTTTTTAAGGGACTAAAGCAAGATTCATATTTGATTCTTTTGCAGGTCGACTGAGCAAAGAGGACATTGAGCGCATGGTGCAGGAAGCAGAGCAGTTCAGATCTGAAGATGAAGCCCAGAGAGACAAAATTACAGCCAAAAATTCTCTTGAGTCTCTGGCCTTCAACATGAAGAGCACAGTGGAGGACGAGAAGCTGCAAGACAAGATCAGCCCAGAGGATAAAAAGGCTATCATAGACAAGTGCAATGAAGTGATTGCCTGGCTGGACAGAAACCAGGTAGATATCCATAATCCTTAAATGTTGACTTTGATAACTCAAAACTAGAGTTTTACATTTGAGAAAGCTGAGTATTCAGAGACTTATAGCAGAGATGCTGAAATGGTCATTTAACAACTTCAATCTATGATGCAGCTCTTGCAACTTAGTTATCCCCTCCTGATTTTTTTTTTCACAGACGGCTGAGAAGGAGGAGTACGATCACCAGCAGAAAGAGCTGGAGAAGGTCTGCAACCCCATCATCTCGAAGCTTTACCAGGGGGGGATGCCAGGAGGAATGCCAGGGGGGATGCCTGGTGGCTTCCCTGGGGGAGCTGGAGCTGGTTCCTCCTCTGGTCCAACAATTGAGGAGGTTGACTAAATATAAGCAATGTAAAGACTCAAAAGATTACTCATCCCAGCTTGACCACATGCATCTGCCATTTAACAATGTCTTTTGGGTAAATCGACCACACATAAAAACTGATTTAATTTTTGTCTAGTGGATTTCCAAGGCTAGTGTTAAAAAAATGTAAAAACATTTCACCGTACAATAACGATAGTAACTCACAAAAAGACTTTAAACTTGCTTACTTTCTAACACAGGCTGAAAAACTGTTATGTTGTTTTTTGATAGACAAACACAAAGTAGCACATACCAATAAGTTGAAGTAAAAGTCTACCATTTTCTTCCCCGAATCAGAATCCTTCATTAAGAATTTGCTGAACCAGGTTCATTACAAGCCAATGTTAAAAGCCTTTTGCAAGTAATGTCAAAAGGTTTTGTGATTGTTCTGACGATTCAGCTTTTGTCCATTCTGTTTTATTTTATATGAACCATTGTGTTATGGTCGGTGTCATCACTCTTCTGAAAGGTGACCCAGTTTTAATCCCTTTGCATATTATAACAGGTATTGTTCCAGTATTACCTCAATTAGTACCATCCTGACTCATTTTTCACCACCTATCTTTCCCCAATGAAGCATGAGGCTGACATATTTTTTCACCAAGGTCATGGTGTGATTAAGTGTCAGTTTGCACCACGTGTTACCGCGTGTTAGCAAGGAAGTTCCATGTTCATCTCATCTTGCCTGAGTTTCTTATTCCCAGACTTGTAGCAGAATACAGAGCAAGAATTGAAGAATATTTTATCTTAAAATACCATCAGATGGATAAAAGATTACTCTATGACATTTGTGAAGCTAGTAATAGTGTTTCTGTGATGGCTTCATCTTTTTCTAAAAGCCTCCACAATTTTATCCCTGACCCACAGACTTGCTTCAGTGTCATGATGCTGCTAGTTAACTGCGTTTTCAAACAAACCCATAAGTGAGGTACATAGAATGGTTCTATCTATATTAAGATTTAATTAAAGACATAAAGTCCCTGCTTAATAATAAATCATCACTTAAAAGCAATCTTTAGAAATGGATTTTTTTAGGAGGTGGAAAGATAAAGGGGTTAAATTCATAAGCAAGTAACAGGGTTGGGTTTCAGTTTTTAAATCTAAATGTTTGAAAATATTTACTTGTTTTCCAGTTAGTGGGAATGTAGTACTTTGTGTCATTATGCAATAAAAAAAATTACAATAAAATTTAGAATCTAAAACTTAAAAGGTTTTCTTCAGTCTTGGACATGTAATTGTATACTTACTGTACAATGAATAAAGTTCACCTTTGACAACCCTGATTATTTTTTCTCTTTCTTGTCATTTAAATATATAATAAATTCTCAGAAAAACAAATTCCTTATTAATAAATAGTTATGCTACTTTCACACCGGACGCAGCAAGAGCAGCAAAATCACGTCTTCTGCTTCATTTTTGCTGCTTGTACCAGTTTAGATCTGACGCGCGGCTGCAGCAGCTTTGCTGCTCTCGCTGCGCAGTGGGTCTGACGCGCGTTGGGTGGAGCTTCACTATCTTTTCTCTGCCTTGCAGCTATATTTGCTGTGATCAGTGGGAATAAAGTAGTTTTAATATGTTTTAAAGTGAAAAAGTCCACCTGAAAACTTAATAAATGCAGTCAGTTCATCCAGATTACAATCCTGCCTTCCAATATTATTTCTGTCAGAGTCGCTCAGACCCCCACATAACAGTGGTGCGCCGACAGTAGGAATCCCTTCAACAGGAGCCTCTGACCGGGTCGCCTCCTTGCGGTTCACCGCGGTGGTTGGTAGGTGTTTTTCATCTAAATAATCTAAACTGCAGGCACCAGAATAATAAAAGCGAACATATTTTGCCAGCAGGTTTCTGCATTTTAAGTTAATTTATGCGTCAATAAACTGTTTCAGAGGAGTGATCATAGCGCTCTGTATCATCAGCGATGTGTCTGTCTCACGGCCAGCTCCCAGATCAGCTTCTCTGATTGGTTGACGCGGCGCTTTGAGCAGCAAAAGTTAAATTTTTCCATCTCAAAACGCGCTGCGGGACCTTTTGCTGCACTTTGACGCGCATCAACCATTGACTTTGCATGTAAACTCGCTGCTTCTGCCACGCCTGCTGCGTCCGGTGTGAACGTAGCATTATATAATGTCATGCCCCTACCGTCAATCTTGCAGAATGTCTTCCTGTAAGCCCACCACAAAACTTAACACAATTATCTTTTCAATCTAAGATCCCTTATCACAAAAGGTATTTAAAGATGTGGCAAAACAAAGTTCCTGTGAACATATGAAGGATGCTTTTATAAACCGACTTACTGTTACCTTTATTTATTTTGTCTATTCTGTTTTATTTTATATGAACCATTCTGTTATGTTCGGTGTCATCACTCTTCTAAAAGGTGACCCAGTTTTAACCCCTGTGCGTATTATAACAGGTATTGTTCCAGTATTACCTTAATTAGTACCATAATCCCTCATTTTTCACCACCTATCTTTTCCCAATGAAGCATGAGGCTGACACATTTTTTCACCAAGGTCATGGTGTGATTGTCAGTTTGCACCACAGGTAGAATGGTAGCAAGGAAGTTTCATGTTCAGCTCATTTTGCTTGAGTTTCTTCTTAGAATACCAGTTAGTGCGAATGTAGTACTTTGTGTCATTAAGCAATAAAAAAAAAAAATACAATAACATTTAGAATCTAAAACTTAAAAGGTTTTCTTCAGTCTCGGATATGTAATTCTATACCTACAAATGAATAAAGTTCACCTTTGACAACCCTGATAATTTTTCCTCCTTCTTGCCATTTAAGTATGTAATTAATTCTCAGAAAAACAAATTTCTATTTAACAAATAGTTATATAATGTCATGCCCCTACCGTCAATCTTGCAAAATGTCTTCCTGTAAGCCCACCACAAAACTCAATTATCTTTTTAATCTAAGATCCTTTATCACAAAAGGTATTTACAAATGTGGCAAAGCAAAGTTCCTGTGAACATATGAAGGATGCTTTTATAAACCGAGTTTCCTCTGTGTATGTGTGTGGTTTAAAACTGAGAGGCTAGTTTCACATGAGTAAGTTCCGGTAGGAGCAAAGAAGCACAACTCTGCTGTGTTTAGTCGAACTAGATACAATTTTATGGTATCGTTTTTCTTGTTTATATGTGCCTTTAGATTATTTAAGTTGCTTATCAGCAGGTGGTCTTTTCTCATGCAGGGACTGGCCGAACAAGGTTGGGGTGGGGTTTAAACTAATGGCTACTCACAGAAGTCAGGGTCAGTTGTGTGAGTTACACCTATAAATGCCAGCATGATGCAAAGTGACCAGACAGGGACTTGAATCAAAGTCTGGCCACAGTTATGTTCTTGGTCATTAGCTGTTTTGCACTTGTGGCCTCCACACTGGGTGAGTTCCACCAAACCTTCATTTTTGCTTTTTATCTAGAGTTAAAAAAGAAGTCTGGTGGAAAATGTTGGATTTTAACATAATTTGACAATCTACATATCAAATAAAATTATGGCCACAAAATCCAATAATTTTCCACTGTTATGATTCAGCATTAACATGTGGTTTGGCACTAGAATGTTGCTATGGTGTATTTTGACTTTGGGCTTCAGGGTGTGGCGTGCCTTCCATTAAGCCCCAGGTTAGTGGATACAACAAGATTGTAAATGGTGAAAATGCTGTGTCCGGTTCATGGCCCTGGCAGGTTTCTCTTCAGGTAAGTGGCTACGTCTTTACAAATACAGCAAATCTTTTAGAGACAGGCAAACATAAACTTTATGCTTGAAGAAAATCACTAAAGGAGGAAGTCTTTTAAACAGGATGGCAGCGGATTTCACTTCTGTGGAGGATCACTGATCAACCAGTATTGGGTTGTTACAGCTGCCCACTGTCGTGTGTCGTAAGTTTCTAGATACATCCCACATTAGAGCTATTGAAAGCAGATTAATAAAGCAAAGTTATAATTAAGATGATCTTTCAAACCCTTAGTCCATCATACCACCGGGTGATCCTTGGTGAGCATGATCGGAACTACAACAGCGAGGCCATTCAAGTCAAGACCATCTCTAGGGTAAGGAAAACTGTTATGCACTTGAAACTTTCATCTTTTTATTGAAAGCTCTTGTCTACATAATGGTTTGCAAGTATTTAATGTTGCATGAAATGTCTCTTCTCCTAACCCTTCAAGGCCATCACCCACCCTTACTACAACTCTAACACCTTCAACTATGATATCACACTTCTGAGGCTCTCCTCCCCAGCACAGTTCAACTCCCGTGTGTCTCCAGTGTGCTTGCTCTCATCCAGCAGCAGCATCCCCTCAGGAACCAGATGTGTCACCACTGGATGGGGTAGAACTGGACAAACTTGTAAGTGAGCCCCTCTACATTATAACCTAATGTATTTCTACAGCCATCAATAAAGACAATGATACAAGTGCATGGGGAGAAAAAAAATGTGAAAGATTTGAAAAGATTGTTGTTTTTTCTGCGTTTTTAGCAAGCCCTCGTTACCTGCAGCAGACCTCTCTGCCTCTGCTCAGCCCTGACCAGTGCAAAAATTATTGGGGCTACAACAGAATTACTGATGTCATGATCTGTGCTGGTGCCTCTGGAGTTTCCTCCTGCCAGGTAACATGCATTTCAATAGCCAAGCATGGTTCAAGTAACATATAAGTTTTGAACAATCGTTCTATGTTTAAAATATATCTGCAAAATACATTTGCAACCTGTGTCAAATTTCAGTTTGAATTCAGTATCCTGTTCTTCACATTATCAGGAAATTGGTTTCCATTTCTCCGTATCAGCGCCTAATTTATCTTATGAATCAGCAACTGTGCTCTTGCTACACATTTTCCTGTTTTGAAATCAGCCAGCCCACAATCTGCAAAAAGCCAAAGAAAACATAGTGCTCAAAGGAAGTATTCCTGCTATGCAAGTTCAATGATCTTACGTTTATGAACTATTTTTGTTGTTTCAGGGTGACTCTGGTGGCCCTCTGGTGTGTGAAAGCAGTGGCGTCTGGTACCTTACAGGTATTGTGTCTTGGGGCACCTCCAACTGCAATGTGTATGCCCCAGCAGTATACTCCCGCGTGTCCTACCTGCGCAGCTGGATTGACCAGACCCTTGCCTACAACTAAGGAGCAATGAACTACTGCAAATATTAATGCTATATATTATGCTAAGAATAAATTGAACCAGTATCCATTTGCAACCATTTGCAAGAAATCAAGCAATAAATCCTTAAAGATCCTGCATGTTGGTCTTATGTTCCTAAATGATGATGTGTATAATTGTACTTGCTGCTGAGTGGAGATTTTTTTTGTATTCTATCAGAAAGTGAGATGATTGTGGGAAGAGTGAGGATATTTTCTTGTTCGTCACATTTTTAAACTCTTTTCTTGGTTTTCGGGTGTGTTCAAGGTTCAGCCATAGAAATGGAAGTCATTGCTATGTGCTCATAAGGATTGTGAAAAACGGATAGGTTTGTGTATGTGTAATTGTGTGCAATGTCACAATGTCAGCATGAGTTTTTGACAGTAGAAGAAAAACACAGTATTTCAAACTAGCTATGAAGAAATATCCTAAGGTTTGTCAATTTCAGGTTTGAATCTAATAAGAGGCAAAAATAAATTAAAAGGAAAGCCCTGCATAAAAAAGCCCTTCAAGCAAAAGCCCACCAGTAAAATCTGATTAGACATCCAACTTTATCAGTTTGTGACAATATATGTAATACGTCATATGTAATCAGTAATCAGTAATCAAACATCATTAATATCTTAAGAAGTATTGGCTACGCAGGCTTCATATTTCACCAATAAAAAGGGAATAATTCTTTATTTGAATAATGACCTCAGATGTGAATGTTAGAAGCAGCAAACCTGAGTATTTGGGGAATTGGAAACAGGGTTATGGATGGAACTGGGACACTGTATGGTGGGATCACATCAAGATACGGTAGCTAAGAAATTATTGGTTGGAAAGAAATATATACAGTCCATACCTGGGTTTTTCTGTTTAGACTGCATATCTGCAGACCAGTCATGGTCTTTATAGTAACACATTTTGCTACTGAAAATGCCAATATTTGGCTCATGAGGATCACATAGACAGGGATCTCCTACCATGGTCCTTAAGATCTACTGTCGTGCAGGTTTTATGTGCATTCCTACTGCAACACAGCTGAACCAAATGAATAGCTGGTTACCAGTAAATCAGATGTGTTGAAGCAAGAATGCATCTAAAATCTGCAGGACAGATCTTAAGGATCAGGGTTTACTCCTGACATAGTCCATAAATTACTGCTTGTAACATCTTTGACAGCAACAGCTGATACCTTTGCAGCAACCAGCATGAGCCAGGCTATATAAAAAAAAAAAGATTTTCTTCTTCAACATCATGGCTCTTTGGTTTAATCCAAGTCAGCATCATGATCAGATGCCTCAGCTGACTTGTTTTGATGTGTGCAAGCAGCTCAACACTAAGATACTTGCAGAGAACCGCATCTTAAGGTTAAGTCCATCCCCCTTCAGAGGAAACTCGTCTGCAGCGACTGTATCAGAGAGCTTGTTATTTTGATGACAACATATATTGTACAATGCTTAAAAGGCAAAGCACAACCTGAAGACATTGCATGTGGATTGCATCCGGTTATCTTCACACAATCATTGTCATCAGAAGTTTTATATGAGATGTATCTGTAAAGAACTTGTTGCATAGGTTGAAGATGGGTCAGAAAGATTTCTTGTGACTTAAGTCAGCTCTGTTGTCAGTTGTGCTATTTTGCAGGTAAAAAAGAGGGTTTGAGATTACCAATCTCTCTGACTTTTGGAAGGGGCAAGAAAAATCTAAGATATTGTGTTAATAATCTACTTAGCTGCAAGTCAAAAAGTATATACAAGAATGTATACAGACAGGCAGTCTGTATACATTTTGGAAATTTTGCAGTAAAACTGAAGTAAGGAAGTGCTGTAGAAGCAGCATAGTGACAAACAATCAGACAGTATGAACAGTAGTGAAACTTGATAACAGAAAACAAAAATGTTGAACTGGGGAAGCATATCTGCCCCTTATCTAGTCTCTCTCCTTCTGTTGGTTCTTATTGGAGACTCTGCAGACTCCTTTCTGATTGGAGCGAGCTGGAGATGCTGCAGATGGGCAGGTTGGGGTGTTTTTCTGATGTTTAGACAAATTTAGGCAAATTAAACACTGATTTTTTTCTAGGTTCTTAAAAGTTATGTTATGCTACTGCTATAAGAGGTACATTTATATGATGTTATAGGAGATTAATCTATGTAAAGCTTCTTAGCAGTGACACCTAAGAGGCTTATAACTGTTAAGACCAAGTTATATAAGTAAATAAAGAACCACAATGACATATAAGTAAATAAAAAGCAACCATGATGCCATGATACCTTCTATTAAAGTACTTAAACAATTACCCTCGTTTAGTCTTTTTGATACAACTAGAGAACTTTACTACTTCCCGTCAGCAAACCAGACTGCTGACGTTGGTGCTTGTTGCACCCTTCACCAAAGTCAAAACATATATCTCTTACCATAAGCTCTATGTGGTGATTCAGAAAGTCACTCATTAAATCTATAAGTATATGTGAGTTTGTGCACCAATAACTCTAAGACTATCACAAAGAGGTGCTAAAGCATAAACATACTATCCAGTCCACAGAACTGAAGTCCAGTTGTTTTTTAACCTCTTTTTAATTTCATGTCCTAGATGATTGAAAATCTAACCCCAACATAAAATTGCTTAGATCGATAAATCAAATTCCAGAGCAAAGGTACAGGGAGTGGACTGCTGAGGACTGGGGTAAAGTCCTTTTCTCTGATGAATCCCCTTTCCGATTGTTTGGGACATCAGGAAAACAGCTTGTTCGGAGAAGATGAGGTACAGTATGCGCTACCACCAGTCTTGTCTCATGCCAAGTGTAAAGCATCCTGAAGCCATTCATGTGTGGGTTTGCTTCTCAGCCAAGGGAGTCGGCTCTCTCACAGTCTTACCTAAAAACACAGCCATGACTAAAGAATGGTACCAGAATGTCCTCCGAGAGCAACTTCTCCCAACCGTCCAAGAGCAGTTTGGTGATGAACAATGCCTTTTCCAGCATGATGGAGCACCTTGCCATAAAGCAAAGGTGATACTGTATCTAACTTTCTCAGGGAACAAAACATAGAGATTTTGGGTCCATGGCCTGGCAACTGCCCTGATCTTAATCCCATTGAAAACTTGTGGTCAATCATCAAGAGACGAGTGGACAAATGAAAACCTAGGAATTCTGACAAAATGTAAGCATTGATTGTGCAAGAATGGACTGCTATCAGTCAGGATTTGGTCCAGAAGTTGATTGAGAGCATGCCAGGGAGAATTGCAGAGGTCCTGAAAAAGACGGGTCAACACTGCAAATATTGACTTGCTGCATTAATTCATTCTAACTGTCATTAAAAGCTTTTGTTACTCATACTATGATTGCAATTGTATTTCTGCATGTTACGACAACATCTGGCATGCACACATGAAAACCAGACGGCAGCAGATCATGTGAATATATAATATTTGTGTCATTCTCAATACTTTTGGCCATGACTGTATGCACTAGTCGGTAAATTGTGGGACATTTAAAGTCCACTACTTTTCCATCCACTGGACATTCGGACACTAATCTAAAATGGCATTAGGGTGGACGTTTGGACACAGCTCCAGTGAACTGCATGGTTACCAAGCAACCAAGTTTCTCTTTTTATCAAGGCTATCTGGGCTCATTAATGATTTAGACTTGCATTGGTCAATCAACAACTCTCTGGAATTGGTGTCATAAACGGGAAAGATGGACACTGTGTTTAAAGCAAATCACCTTGGAGTCAAGCTTATGGGAAAGAAAACTGACCTTCCCTGCATCCCGAGCCAAAACCCTGAGGGCTCAGCGGAGAAGAGCCAGGACACGATCAGAAGACAGGTGAAAAACAGCAAACCCTCTCAATCCACTGGCCTTCCAGAGTTAGGACATGAACCAGGAACATAACTAACCCTCATAAAACAATCATGAATAACTGACACGAAAAAAAAAAAAAAAGCGAATAAATACATGTGCGGGTATTCTAATCTATCCAGAAGTTCTGCAATCACACTTTTTCTCTCACTACCAACTACCAACGTGGTCGGCTGCCTTCCCTGGAAATGCCTTTCCAAATTTTTCTTTTTCTTTTTTGTCACCTCTCATTACAAATCAAAAAATGCAGGCAATCTTTCCGCATTGATAATGAAAGCAAATGATTCGCTCCATTCTTTGAATCCTCTTTTCTCATTAGCTATCTTCCTTTGTTGCCGACCCCCGGGGTAGTGTAAATGGGGCTTATATCTCATTCTGTTTTGGCATCAAATGATTTCAATTTAATGCCTGATCATTCATTAGTTTATTCATGCTATCATATTATTATTTATATTATCATGCTATCATGATCGATGTATACTCTTTCTTTTCTTTGCTTTTTGCAAAGTGAACCTTTAATAATTGCATAGTTTATCGGAGGTTGATCAGATTATATCAGCTGTATACATAGCTGTAAATGCATAGGTAGGAAATGTGTCATGTATGGTTTGCAAAAAGACTTGTCTTGTGAAACCACTTTTTTTTTAATCAATTTCCCTTTGTTGCTTACTGTGATGGCTATATTTACAGCTTTTTATATCTCATTATTTGGAATGTATTCATTACCATTACACTGTATTCCAAAATTAGTGTGTAGATTTTGGTTTACACTGTTTTTGTTGTGATTGTGCCAATTTCATATTTAGTTTTAGTTTTGCAGTCTCTCCAGTCCCTTGTCTGAGGAACCAGCAGTAGGCCAATGGGCTGATTTTATTTGGACCATACCACATCAGTGCTATGGGGGAAAATGGGGTTTTTACTTTATTTTGTTTAGTTAGGGTTTTGCATGTCTTGCCCCATTTGTTTCTTTTGTGGACTGATCAGCCACTACTTAAGTCCCCCGTTGTCTCAAGAAGTACTTGTATTTTTCATGTTAGAGGTGATCAACTGTAGTGCTCAGACGACAAAGAAAACCGAAAAAATTAAAATATAGTGAAAGCTGCAGAAAGTAGCTTAAAGTGAGAGATTTAAACTGGGAAATGGTTGAAAGTATAATGGGAAGACGAGTAGGACCATTAGCAACGTGCAGAGTGACAATAGCTTAAAGATAAATTTGATATTATGAGGACAAATTTGATTGAGCATTTATTTAT